CCAAGAGTTAGTTAGCCTGGGTTCAAGCCACAGGTGAGGGGCAGTGGGCTGATGTTTTCTATCTTTTTTCTTCTTCTAAGTTTATTTTCAGAGAGAGAGAGAGAGAGAATATGCACGTGTGTGAGTGGGAGAGGAGCAGAGAGAGAAGGAGACAGACAATCCTAAGTGGGTTCCATGCTGTCATTGTGGAGCCATGCACAGAACCATGACTGAACTGAACGATGAGTCAGAGGCACCCAGGCGCCCCTAGAATATTCCCGAGGGCTGCCAGCAGCAGAGACAGATGCAGATGTGAATCCAATCTAAAGAAAATGGTGGAGTTAGGTCTTCAGCAATATACACACATGCATGCTGATCCATGGTCCTGTACTGTTCTTTTGATTGAAATGCCCTTTTTATCCTAATTTATTCAAATTTGATTTCAGGAACTAATCCTGTGTCTCCATCAGGGACCAGTCACACCAGTAGTCTCACTGGGGAAAATTTTTTGAAAATTTTTTTACATTTCTGGTATCTTTATTTCATATTGATTATTGTGTAAGTAAATTGCATAATTCACACTCTATTAAAAAGTGTAGAATAGAATACACCCTATTTTTTGACTATTTTTTGAAGTTTTTATTTAAATTCCAGTTAACATACAGTGTAATATTAGTTTCAGGTGTACAATATAGTGATTCAGCACTTTCATATACTCCCCAGTGCTCATCACTACAAAGCACTCCTCAGTCCCCATCACCTATTTCACCTGTCTCCCCTCCTCCACCTCCTTTTTCTGTTTGTTCTCTGTAGTTAAGAGTCTGTTTCTTGGTTTGTCTCTCTCCCTTTTTTTCCTCCTTTGCTTTTTTGTTTTGTTTCTTAAATTCTATGTATGCGTGAAATCATACAGTTTTTGTCTTCTCTGACTGGCTTACTTCACTTAGCATAATACACTCTAGTTCTATCCACATCATTGTAAATGGCAAGATTTCATTCTTTTTGATGGCTGAGTAACATTCCATTGTATATATATATATACCACATTTTCTTTATACATTCATTGGTCGACGGACACTTGGGCTGTTTCCATAGTTTGGCTTTTGTAGATAATGCTGCTCCAAACATCGGGGTGCATGTATCCCTTTGAGTTAGTATTTTTGTATTCTTTGAGTAAATGTCTATTAGTGTGATTGCTGGATTATAGGGTAGTTCTGTTTTTAACTTTTTGAGGAACCTCCATACTGTTTTCCAGAGTGGCTGCACCAGTTTGCATTCCCACCAACAGTGCAAGAGGGTTGAGTGGGGAAAACTTAATAGAAAAGATTATTAATTAGGAAAAGTAAAAGGTAGTTAAGTAGTGAAAGGAGATTCTAAGCGTACAGAAGTAGTAAGCATGTAAAGCAGCTGTTTGCTCTGGGGCTGAAGGGTAGTGAGTAAGGACAGAACTCAGCTGAGGGCCTCAACCTGCAAGGCTGAGATGGAGGTCTGTCCAGTAGTGAGGAGACAGGGTGGAAGGCAGAGTCCCTGGGAGTGGCCTGCTGGGGGACAGTGAAATTTGCAGGGGGGTGTGGCCCAGAGTTAATATAGAGAACCCTATGCTAGCTGATCACAACAATCGCTGGAGGGCGTGGGCCCGAGTTGGGCCATCAGAGGGGCCTGCCAAGTATGAAGAAATTTAGTGGGATGGTCTGGTCTGGGAGGGCCACTGAAGGGGGCACCCTCAAGCTGCTGGCCACTGAGCTAATATGCCACACTGGCTCCGGTGGCATATTCGAACCTCCTTGCTCTCCTGTGGCCTCAGTGCCCCTCCAGAGTCACCTAATCACAAGCCATCTGACAATGGAGAAATGATAGAATGAAGCCCCAGGATCACAGTACAGGGGAGAGAAGGGTGGATTTGGAGGCTGGAGGCCATAGTTCTGAGCAGCACACACCCACTTGCCCTGCTGTGGGCCAAGCCTTTGTGCTGATTCCAGTCCTCATGTTTCTTGCATCTAAATCTAAGCTCTCGGGGTTCTCAGTGGGATCCTGTTGTGACAAGTCATTCATTCTCTGGGCACGAATGGCTCCCACGTCTCCCCATGTGGTGGAAGGCATGGGACTGGCCTGTTCTAAGTCCCAGTGAACACACAGTGGTTGATGCCTTTACTGGGTAGGGAGGGAAAAGTGGTCGGTGGCCTTGACCCCACAGCAGCTTTGATGTAGGGGCTGAGCCTGCTTCATTGGGGAAGAGGGTGGCTGGGTACTGGGGCAGCCTGGCTGGGAGTGCCCGGTTGGATGAGGGCTCCAGTCGTACTGTATCTTAGGACTAATGTTTAGTGGATGCCTGTGCGTTACCTCTTATTCTGCCAGTGATTTTGATCTCCCTTCTTCTGGGTTGGAATTTGGGGAATGATTATTTGAGCTACAAAAAGTCATTTGTTCATAGTAGCCTGGACCTTTGTACCATGAAGAAAGGCCCAGTTCCGTGTTTGACCATGGTTTGCCTTCTTTCTCACTTCCTCAAAACCAGGGCTTGAGCGTGGCCATGGCCAGTCCTCGCATTGATTTTCTGTCATCTGCCACTGGCCAGCTGAGGCCCCAGTTCCCAATTCTTAAAGAGAATACACCCCTTTCCCACCATCCTTTGATCCATCTGTAAGCTTTCTCTCCTTGTAATTCTTAGGGTTAATTTCCTTCTCCTTGTGCCCTCCCGTCAGGGTAAGAAGACTCTGTGGCCCAGCTTGGACCAGATGTCCACATCAAGGCTGGCATACTCTGCGTAGGGGGTGAGGTCATGTGTATATAGGCTTTCCAATAGTTTGCTGGGGTTCGGAAGTAGAGGTGTCCAGCAGAGTCAGTAGTGGGTGCTCACAAGGGTCTCAGCACAGTGACCCAATGCCTGGAGTCTGGGGTCTATTGTGCCTGTGTCCCTGTGGAACAGGGCAGATGGGCTATTGGAACACAGGTGCTGAGGGCTGTAGTGTTCTCTTTTTAATTCTAGGTTCATATGGCAACTAATTATATAGGATCTTTAACTGTTTCTTCCATTGTTGTTGCCAAAAGTTATTTAACTCCTCAGGTGGTTTATTGCCTCCAGTATGTGCTTAATTATGTCGACATCTTCCATATCACTCAAGAGAGTGTAAGTCCATCGTAGATGTTTACTTCCTCTTGGTTGATTGCATGGGTGCGGAAGAGATTCCCATGGGGCACTGGGCCCCCTTACCTTCTTTGTGTGCCCACAGCCCCATCCTGCCCCAGAAGCTGTAGCTCCAGGAAGGCAGGACCGTTCCTGAACCCTCAGCTGAGCTGGGGTGATGACTGGGGATACACAGCCTGATGGCCAGCAGGGACCACCTCCCAGCTCTGGAAGGACAGTGGGCATCAGGCTGCAAGTTAAGGCTGCCCTGTCCTAAGAGACCTGCCCAGCTGGCTGCTCCCTGCACCTGACACTTCCCAGAAAAACTTTTCTTCCAGTTACGAGGAGACCCTGCTAGGGTTGACTGGGTGGCTTCATCTGTTATGCATCTGACTCATGGTTTCTGCCTGGGTCATGATCTCATGGTTTGTGGGATTGGGCCCCACATTGGGCTCTATGCTGACGGCATGGAGCCTGCTTGTGATTTTCTTTCTCCCTGTCTCTGCCCCTCCCGTTCTGTGCTCACTCTCTGTCTCTCTTAAAATTAAAAAAACTTAAAAAAGAAAAAAAGACCCCTGCTAAAGTTTGTTGAGTTAAAAGAGCCCTAGGTTTGGAGTGTTTTCTAGACCTTTCTTTGACATTTATTAGCTGTATTAGCTATTTCTTCATAAGGACAGTATTTGAGTTTCTTATTTCTATCATTTATTTATTAAGTTTATTTCTTAATATTTTTTTAAAGTTTGTTTATTTTTGAGAGAGAGAGAGAGGCAGTGTGTGAGCAGGGGAAGGACAGAGAGAGAGGCAGACGCATAATCCAAAGATAGGCTCCAGGCTCTGAGCTAGCTGTCCGCACAGAGCCCAATGCGGGGCTTGCGCTCATGAACCATGAGATCATGACCTGAGCCAAAGTCAGATGCTTAACCAACTGAGCCTCCCAGGTGCCCCAAAGTTTATTTTATTTATTTATTTATTTATTTATTTATTTATTTATTTATTTATTTTTAATGTTTATTTTTGAAGGAGAAAGAGACAGAGTGAGCAGAGGAGGGGTGGAGAGAGAAGGAGACAGAATCCAAAGCAGGCTCCAGGCTGTAAGCTGTCAGCACAGAGCTTGATGTGGGACTTGAACTCACAAACCGTGAGATTATGACCTGAGCCTAAGTCAGACGCTAAGCCGACTGAGCCACCCAGGTGCCCCCAAAGTTTATTTTTGAGAGAGAGAGAGAGCACCCAAAAGTGGAAGAGGAGCAGAGAGACACAATCTCAAGCAGGCTCTGCGCTGTCAGCATAGAGCCCGACTTGGGGCTCAATCTCACAAGATTGTGACCTGAGCCAAAATCAAGAGTCAGATACTTAACCAACTGAGCCACCCAGGCGCCCCTGAGTTTCTTGTTTTTAAAAATACCAATACCTGACTCCCTGAGCTGCCATAAAGATTAAAAGAAAGGAAGCGTATGACCATGTTTTAGAAACTGTAGGCCTCCAAACAGATAGTGTTATTGGCATGTCTGAGGGTTGGGTGGCAAACACATGAACTCAATGCACCCACAAATGAATCGTTAATAGATTAATGACCGCTCTGGTTCCTGGGCCAGTAAGTTTTGATGGAGAAAAGACCAGAAGCATCAGAGCACTGGACTCTACGAAGAGGCTGACCTCAGTATGAGGTCGGAATTGCCTGCACTAGGTAGTGAAACTGAAGGAGAGCATTGAGGCAGAAGGTGAATGAAGGTGTGTGTGTGTGTGTGTGTGTGTGTGTGTGTGTGTGCGCGCGTGCGCATGTGCACGCGCGCTCTTGGAGCGAATCAGGCCCTTCAAGCAGTGGGGGCAGGAAAGGGAAAGAATATCCTGTGGACAGTGTACACTCACACCTCTCTGTTCCTGGCCCGTCTCCCTGCAGGTGCACCTCCGTTCTGCCAGGCGCCTCTGTGAGCTCTGCTGTGCCAACCGGGGCACTTTCATCAAGGTGGGCCAGCACCTGGGCGCTCTGGACTACCTGCTGCCCGAGGAGTACACCAGCACCCTGAAGGTGCTGCACAGCCAGGCTCCGCAGAGCAGCATGCAAGAGGTCCGCCAGGTCATCCGCGAAGACCTGGGCAAAGAGGTAGCCGCCTGTGCCGGGGGGTGAGGGGAGGGGGGCGGCTGCTGGGATGGCTTTCTTCTGAAGGGCCCTGGCAGAGCTGTGCCTGCCAGGTGCCGGCACTCCACCGCTGGAATGGAAACATACCTCATGGCAACTTTCAGTAGAGAAATCAAAGGGGTGAGAACGAATCTCAGGGGCCCTCAGTAAAAAAGATGGTTGAACCCTATGAAAGAGCTGATGTGTGACTGTTTTTGCCCTGCAGTGCAATGGGATTCATATGGTTCAACCTAATCCTATCTGTCCATTATGGGGGGTTTACTGTGTGTGGACGGCTGTGCTGTGTTCCGTGCATTCTCACCTAATCCTCACAGTACTGTCAGGTACCTACCTGGTCTTAACCCCATTTTTCTGATGAGAGATAAAAACTTAGGTAAAGGAGATTAAGTGAAGGGTAAATCCCATTTAGGGCTAGAGTCAGGAGCAAGGCCACAGGCTAGGGGGGGCAAAGTTAGGATGGAGAGACCCTAGGCAGAGAGGATAGGATTGGCGTGGCACAGGTCTGTGCGTGGCTTTGCTTCTTGCCAAGGCTGTTGGCCTCCTGCTTCCTACAGCACGAGATTCACCCCCAAATTAAAACTAAATAAATCACTGTAATAACAGTGTGAAATGCATCATTGCTGGCATGTGGCAGCTCGTGGGGGCGGATGGAAGGGAGGGAAGGCAGCAGATTAACCCTTTTAGGCCGGCTTGTCTGTGGAGGGCTGGAGCGGGAGGCAAGACCAGGTCAGTGGCCCCCTGTAAGCCAGGCTGGAGCGAGATGAGAAGTTTGAGGTGTCAGCAGTCATGGTGGGCCCACCCAGCTGGCCAAGGGACGTATGGGGTTAAAAGATTTTGTCTTCATCTTCAGGACCTCTCCTCTAGGCCCCCCTGGCCGTGTGGTCCTGAGCGTGGTGGCCTGCGGCTGCTGCCCCACAGGCTGTCTTGAGCCCTCTGAATAGGGCAGGCTAATGTCAAGGTCATGGTTCTGAGGGGGCGTCCTTCACAGCTGGGAAGCTCAGCAACCTCTGGTTTCTCACCCCGGCCCCCACAGACGCACAATTGAAGTCTCTCCTCCCCCTCCCCCTCCTCCTCCCTCCTGGGAAGATGGCATTTGTTCCTTGGTGACACACTTTCTCATTCTGTGGGTGGAGGGAGGGGAAAGGGGCTATGTGGGAACAGAGTAGGTGGGTGTGGAGGTGTGAGGGCGGGGAAAGTCACTCTACTCTGCACTTCCCTCCTCCTCCCGCCTCTTCCATGACACTTCTTGGGGAGCAGCTCTCCCCACCAGGAAGATACCTGAGTGGACCCCACTGACTGTGGGCTCTACACCCACCCTGGGATGCTCAGTGGAAAGCTTTGTTTTTATCCTGGTTTCAAGAATGTGGCTAAAGGAAGCCAAGTCTGTCGTGTATGACCATCTGCTGTCTGGCTTTGAGTTCTTGGATGGCCTCTGAAGACACCTGGAGCTCAGAGACTACATAGCTGCCCCTAAATCTCAGACTGAGGTGCAGGGAGAGTGGCCTGAGAGTGTGTTCTGGCCTTTCTAGTTGCTTGTATCTACCTTCCCATCAGCAGAGGCCTTATGGGGGCACTAGTGTCCTCACACCAGTCCCTGTCGCAGGCAGATGGGGCTGGTCCTGAGGGGTGTCCCCAGCAGGGTGTAGGAGATGAGCGTGAACTTACAGCTCTCTGGACCCTGCGATTTACTTGTGGTTCTGGATCAGTGCAAATCCCTGCACAGCAGCCAGTGCCATCAGTGTGGAGGGGAGAGTGAGTAAAGGGACACTGTCCTGGCATAGGGATGTGGAGGGGTGGGGATGGAGGCCACAAATCTAAGGGAGGGGCGTGGGAGTGACGGTGAGGCCTCAGATCCTCTGATTACCAGACCAGTGCCTTGTCTCCTATGTAACCGAGCTTCTGGTTGGCAGAAATCTTTTAGAAATCTGTTTTCTGTGTCTTTGGGTTAGAAGTTTCTCAGCTAGTATTACCAGAAGGAAACTTGCTTTATTCCTTTTGTTTTGAATGTTAGGCTTAAGTCCTGAAGGTCATGTTCTGGGAAGCAGTTGGAAGCCCAAACTCTAGGAGGTGGCATCATTTCTGGTGTCTCCAAAGTGACCTGGATCTGAAGTGGGTTGGGAATGGTCTCAGCCTTGGTATCTTAACTGCCCTTGGGACTGTAGGTTTAGGTGCAGTGCCGATCTTGGCCAGAAGATGGCGCTGGAGTTTGAGCGTCAGGGAAAGGTACTGAAGACTCGGCCCTTTCCAGCAAAGGGGAACCCTGACAGTTGGCTGAGACTTGGGTTCTTTATTCTCCTGGGCATGGTTCATGCTGAGGAAGGAGACCAGGCTGACACCTTTGCACCCTGAATGAGGCTGTTGACCACCCTGGTCCCCAGGAGTTCTTTGCTTCCTGCTGGAGGACCTGACAGAGCTCTGACCACCAACCCATTCTTACACAGTACTCTTTTGGGCTAGGAGTCCTCAGAGAACCCCCACCCCACCCCCCCCAGGCATTAAAAGCCTGCAGTTCTGTTTCAACACCTTTCCCTTCATTTTCCCTTCCTTCTGTCTGTTGTCCAAGCAGCTGGTATTTAGTGAAGAAAGCACAGTGCTGGAATCTTTGGGTGCAGCCAGGAATGGGTAAGACCTCGTTCCAGCCCTTGTAGTCTGGGGTCATCAGGAGGTACCCAGCACTTTAATAGCTGGCCCTGGATGTGCCCACAGGGTTTGTGGGAAAGAGAGAGTGACAGGGAAAGAGAGAGTGACAGGGAGAGAGAAAGAGAGAGTGCCCATTTGGGTGGATGGAGGCTTTCTGGAGCAGATGCTTTCTGACCCAGGCTCTCAAAGATGGGTGGGCTTGGAGGAGATGAAGGTTGGAGGAGGGGGCTTCTGATTGATGAGATGGGCTAAGCAAAGGTATGGGCACTGGAAAGCATAACATACAGAGGTTGCATGGAGAATAGTCTTGTTGACTAGCATATAGGGTTCAGGTTGGTGATGGTGGAGCTGAGGTTGCAAAGTTGGTGCTGAGGTCACAGTATGAAGGGCCTCAAATGTTCTTTTCATAACATGAACCGGAGGGAGAAGAGAACTTGGAGAAGGACCCAAGTGAAGGAGTAGGGAGTGGGGCCAGATTTTCCTCGCAACGTGGGTGATGAGGTCAGATGGGGGAAGGAGCAGGTGGGAGGTTTGTGTGGGTGGGGAGCTTGGGGAGAGGGGTTACAGAGGGCTTAGGAAGAGATGCACTGGTACAGTTGTCTTGCTTTCCTCCATCCACCCCCCTAACACACACAGACAAGTCTAGTCTTATTACAGTGTATTTCAGTCAGTGATCAAGTTTTGTCTGTTGTTCTGGAATGTAGTTGAATCAGATAAGGTTCTTTCCAGCTCTAAAATTCTATGAAAGACTGAAGGAAATGAGGTCAGCTGCCAGAGTGATGCACAGAAATACCTTTGTTGGGGGCACTGCTTGTACTGGTGTTGGGGGATGGGGGGTCTTGTGTACTCTGATACATGTTTCATCGGTCTGTTATCTCCGAGCGCCTACAGGGTGGGGATCTAGACTTGAACTTGTCTTATAACTTCCCATAGTACCTGGAGAGAAATGCTGTGTCACAGGAGATCAGCATTTTTAAAAAAATTTTTAATATTTTATTTATTTCTGAGAGAGAGAGCGAGAGAGTGAGAGAGTGAGAGAGAGAGACAGCATGAACAGGGGAGGGTCAGAGAGAGAGAGAGATACAGAATCTGAAACAGGCTCCAGGCTCTGAGCTAGCTGTCAGCACAGAGCCCAACGTGGGGTTCGAACCCATAAACTGTAAGATCATGACTTCAGCCAAAGTGGGACGCTTAACTGACTGAGCCACCCAGGTGCCCCTGGAGATCAGCATTCTTTTTTTTTAAATTTTTTAAATGTTTTTATTCATTTATTTATTATTATTTTTAAAAAATATTTTTATTTATTTCTAGGAGAGAGAGAGACAGCATGAACAGGGGAGGGTCAGAGAGAGAGGGAGACACAGACTCTGAAATAGGCTCCAGGCTCTGAGCTGGCAGTCAGCACAGAGCCCGACGTGGGGCTCGAACCCACGAACCTCGAGATCATGACCTAAGCGAAAGTCGGACGCTTAACCGACTAAGCCACCCAGGCACCCCTTTTTTATTTATTTTTTTACAAATAGTTTATTGTCAAATTAGTTTCCACATAACACCCAGTCCTCATCCCCACAAGTGCCCTCCTCCATGCCCATCCCCCCTCCCCACA